GGGATTACATGTGTCCACCACCACGCCTGGCTATTTTTTTTTTTTTTTTTTTTTTAGTAGAGATGGGGTTTCACTATGCTGGGCAGGCTGGTCTCGAACTCCTGACCTTAGGTGATCTGCCCACCTCAGCCTCCCAAAGTGCTGAGTTTACAGGTGAGAACCACCACACCCAGCTGAATTCTGTTTCTTATAATAAGGTTATCATTTTTGCCAACAGGGCAGGGCTGAGCCGGGTTTCCCTTGATTTATAAAAATGAAGGAATGATGTGTTGTGTACTCTAGCATCATGGGACAGATTTCTACTAATTTCCTGAATATGGGCGAGTCCACTTTCCTCTTAGGGGTAGGTGTTAGGGTGTAGAGGCAGCCATGTTGCATCCACCAGCAACCGTTGGTTGCAGGCAATGGATTGGCAGGAAATGTAATAGGTGCACAGTAAGTACTGAATGGATAAAAAAAGAATGGCGGCCTGGCACAGTGGCTCACATCTGTAATCCCAGCACTTTGGGAGGCCAAGGCAGGTGGATCACTTGGGGTCAGGCGTTCGAGACCAGCCTGGCCAGCATGTTGAAGCCCCATCTCTACTAAAAATAGAAAAATTAGCTCACCGTGGTAGCACACGCCTGTAATCCCAACTACTAGGGAGGCTGAGGCAGGAGAATTGTTTGAACCCAGGGGGCGGAGGTTTCAGTGAGCCGAGATTGTGCCACTGCACTCTAGCCTAGGGGACACAGCAAGACTCCATCAAAAAACAAAACAAACAAAAAAACACAGAATGGAAGGAAAAGCTGAAACACCAGGCTCCAGAAAGGCAGGGGCAGGGCAGCTCAGGGAAGAGGAAGAGAAAGGTGTATTAAGTGGCAGGAACCAATGGAATACATATGGGATGTTTGCCTTGGCATTAGTGAACTCCAATCATTTTAAGTGTTTGTGCTCATGATCCAAATTCCTGGGAGATAGCCCCTGATTGGTCCAGCCCAGAGCCAATGCCCTGGTTTGCAGCAGATGCTCTCTCAGACTCCCACAACCAGCCCCCTGCACATGGGGGCAGTCCCCACTTCCAGCTTCCACCATCTGTGCTTCCTTGCCTGAGGGTGCTCTTGCCCACATTCTCAACTGAAAGAGTTCTAAGGAATCAGCATCCCCAGGAGCAGCCTTCAATCAACAACTCAGAGGATGGGACATGGTATATGAATACCCCACTCCCCATCTCCAATGGGAGAACCCTGAGGGGCACATTCTACACTGTCACCCTGAGCTCCTCAGTGGCATTAAACTACACTTGCCCACAGTGGTGATGGGCTTGATGATGCACATTTGACCACCTTCCTGCCCTTCCCTGTGTCAATTCTCTCCCCAACCCTGGTATCTGATATTGCCTCCCAAATAAACGACTTGCACTCAAGTCCTTGTTTTAGGATCTGCTTCCTAGGAGAGAGGTGGCGGGAGACACGGTCCCTCTGATGCCACCTGTATTAGGGGAAGTAGAAGTGTCCTAGGATAAAGCAGAGATTCTGGTACCAAAATAAGAGAAATCCTGGCTGTGCAGAATGACAGAGTCACATAAATACTTGTCACACAGGGTCATTGTGGGGATGAAGTAGCATCTACTGCAGAGCGAGCCCTAACAGTTCACTCTGCCTCTCTGTTCCCCGAAGCATGTGTGAGGATGGCAGGTGAGTACTGGTTTCTAAAAGAAAATGCTGGAGTCTGTCAGCATGCCCCTGCCCTGCAACAAGCTGCCCCCAGTCCCCAGAGTCCCTGCATGCAGCAGCCTGACACGGCCCATCTTTGACTTTTCCTCCGGGGCCAGGCTGTGACAAAGGTCAGGAGGCCACGAAATTTCTCAGGGGAACAAATTTCCATTTCTGTAAACTTCATTTAAGCAGCTCTGTCCAGAGAAAATAAAAACAAAGGGTCACACTCCTTCCCCGATTTGGCACACTGTCCATTTTCATGGGGAGTCCACACCAGGAATGACAAGATGGTGAGTCCTGAGCACTGGCTAATCTAACATTTTACTTTACAGTTATTAGAATTATGAAAAGGCAGCATTTGTTGGATAGGCTGCCCTGGTTTCTTTTTTTATGCAACAGGATCTGGCTATGTTGCTCAGGCTGGAGTGCAGTGGTGCAGTCTCAGCTCACTGCAGCCTCCAACTCCTGAACTCAAGCCATCCCCCGACCTTGGCCTCCCCAGTAGCTGAGATGACAGGCACACACCACCATGCCCAGTTAATTTTTAAATCTTTCTTAGAGATTGGTCTTCACATGTTGCCCAGTCTGGTTTTGAACTCCTGGCCTCAAGCAATCCTCCTGCCTCGGCCTCCCAAAGTGCTGGGATTACAGGCATGAGCCACCACATCAGGACTGATATTTTATTCTTGAAAGGAAGATTTCACACTAGTAGCAGTCACCTCATAAACAAGAGAATTTTTTTCTGGCCTGGCAAATGCCTATTTCACCTCCTTATGGACAATTTTCCTAGCCAGAAAGAAAGAGATTTAAAAGGTGGATTTTTTTTCTAAGCATCTTGAACAGAAGCCAGAGACCTGGAGTTCTCTCTGCTCTTGTCACAAGGAGAGGAGAGCAGGGATGGGAAGCCACACTGAGAGGCCTGAGGTACCTGTGTGGTTGCCAATCCCAGTTGGGCCAATTACTGTGTGTAACTTCAATGGTCTTCAGCTTCCCCACTTGTAAAATGAGGATACAAATAAAGTTGTCTGAGGATTGAATGAGAGCGTGAAGGCAAAGTGCCTCACATGTGGTAGGCATTCATTATTATGCAGAGTTTTCACATTTGGGGGTTATTTTGGCTTCAGACATTAGCGTCTTCCTTGTTTCTCTACAAGCCAACCAACACACTTGCTTCAGGGCCACCTCCCCTGGGAAGCCCTCACTGACTTGATTTCCTCAGCCTGCAATCATCTTGGTCACCTGTGAATCTCTGCACACTGCTTAAGGCTCAACTATAAACTCTCGATAAGTCTCTAGATTAGTCTTAATATAGGAGTTAAAAAGAAATTACTTAGGCAGATAGTGAGGGTACAGAAGTCCTCGGTAAGGTTTTCCTTTTAATGAAAAGCAGCCCCAAATCATTTTCCTTTCTAACAAAGAGCAGCCTGTAAAATCGAGCCGCAGACATAGAGGCCGGCAGTTGTGCCAATCATGTTCAAGATGGCGGCTCCATCTCCCCTTCTCTTTGTCAGCCACGTATACAGTAAGGAGCAGACAAGATGGCGCCAGCCAAGGGGAAGGTTCATTTGCACAGTAAGATTAGAGTAGGGTGGCCAGCCTTCCCCAAATGCTATGTAAATGTCACACCTGATCCAGCCAATCTGTGGGTCCTACCTAAATCAGACACCGCCTCCTCAAGCCTGACCATAAAATCTGGCAAACTCCACCACCGGCCGGTCTTTCCTTTCGGAAGCCCCTCCCTCTCACTAGAGAGCTGTTCTCCTTTCTCTTTCTTTTGCGTATTAAACCTCTGCTTCTAAACTCCTTATGTGTGTCAGTGTCCTAAATTTTCTTGGCGCAAGACAGTGAACACCCCGGGTATTTACCCCAGACAACGAAGTCGCTTCAGTCTTACCTCCCCAGCTAGACCAGAAGTGTCTCCAGCAGGGCTATGATCACGCTGGAGGTTCTAGGCAAAAATCTCTGTGCCTCTTTCAGCTTCTGGTGGCTCTGAGTCCTGTGGCTTGTGACTGCATCACTCTAATCTCTGTCTCCATCTTCACACGGCCTTCCCTCCTGTCTCTTATGAGGACGTTTATTTTTCAGGGCCCACCTCAGTAATCCAGGGTGATCTCATTTCAAGATCCTTAATTACACCTAGAAAGGCCCTTTTTTCTAATAAGGTTGTTTTGACAAATCCTAGGGGTTAGGACGTGGACATCCCCTTTTTTTCGGAGGGAAACACCATTCAGCCCCTACGGCTTCTCATAGTATCTTAAACCTTTCCATCACTCCTGTAACCCCAGCTGGCAATTTTATATTTATTTGTGAAACTATTTGGCAATGCCTATATCCTCAGGAAGCTGCAGATAACAAGAGGGCAAATTCCACATCTGTACTGCTCACCACTCTACCCCCAGCACACGGTAGGTACCTAGAATGTGTCTGTGGAACAGACAGACAGCTGGGCCGGGAGCTTTTGGAGAATGCTTCTTGTCAAGGACACCACGCAGGCAGCTACGAGCAAGGCCTTCAGTAAGCGACGTGCTCAAGACTTTACAGCCTCATAAATCCCATGGCTGGTGGCATGATTAGAACTGAGTAAAAATGCGAGCAATTTAATTTCCCAGTGCACAGCCTACAGAGCCTTGTAAACTTATCCCCTAAACGAATAGCCATAAACGTTTGATAAAACACCATGTGGCTTCCTGTTTCCCAGAAATATTTCCTGGGCCCAAGGAAGAAGCGACATCCAGCCCCGACTTGAGGTTACTTGAGCACTGTAATTAATGTTTGATAGAGGGCTTCCTAATGGCCTGAGCTCTTGGTGGCCATATCAATAATGATGACATTCACCCAGCCAACCTGCTGATGAGTCCAGTCCACAGAGAAAAGGAAAGAGGAAAATCTTAGAAGCAGGCTTCAAACACATTACAGGGTAAAGTTACGTGGCAGTGGATTTGTGCAATGCTCTGAGTTTTTCATCCCATATCCGTATCTTTGATCTCACTTGATCCCTGCATTGGGTCTGAGGGAAGAACAAAGAAGGAACTGCTAACTCTATTAAAGGGAAGAGGAAAAGTATAATAGCATCTGCCACAAAAGTAGCCAAGAAAGGGACCTTTCCCAACTCATGCAGCTCATAAAAGCCTCGGCACCTGAACCAGGATCTTGGGACCTCTGACTCCTCTCGCACCATTAGTGGTAGTAGTGGGAAAGATAATACCATGGCAACTCTGCCTACACAGCAGCAGGAAGGAGGGAGGCCAAGTTCCAAGAGGGCCTTCCTGACCATGAACATTCTATGACACTCAATCATCTTACCTGGTAAGCTCATAGATTGCAAAATCCTCCTCTTCTGCAAGGTTTAGGAGAAGAGAACTTGTTTTAGGATTAACTGTAATCCTGGCCAGATGGAAGAGTCACCTGGAACTCTTTTGTCCATGGTAGAGACCAGCGCTTCTCAAATTTCAACATGCACACAATCAGCTGGGGACCTTTTTCACGTGAAGGTTCTATTTCAGTAGGTCTGGGGCAGGGCGTGAAATTCTGCCTTTCTCACCAGCTCCCAGGTGATCCTCATGCTCCTGGTCTCTAGACCATAAATGAGTGATGAGTGGTGGACAATCTGTACTAGGATGCTACAGACTTGGTAGCATCATGGTTGGGTAAAAGCCCTTCTTCTGTAGCATGGGTTTGAGCCACTCAGAGAAGAACTGTTGATACGGAAGTTGATACACTGTTGATACAGTGCCCTCCTCCCCTAGATGTTTCATACTCAGGGACTTTGGGCAAATGGCCCCCATCTTCTCAAGCTTCAATTTTCTCATCTGTAAAATGCAGAGTTGGGCAGAAGATGCATAAGATCTGAGCTTTTGTCTGGCCCTAACATCCCAGGACTGTAGAAATGAAAACCATAGAGAGCCCCTGAGCTACTTCATAAGATCCATCCATAAGATCCCAGCCTGGCCCTGAAGGCAGACATCCATTCTTCACATCTGCTCAGCCCCCACTCCCCATTCCTCTGGCTTTGGGGTCCCATTTCCTGTGCAGCGCCTCTGCCTCTCTTACTTGGTGATGTTTGGATGGGGCTAATCCTCCTCTCAACTCCAAGGTGAGCGCATGTCCCAAGAATAGTCAATCAGAGTGGTTCAGGGGTGAGCATGTGACTCAAGCTAAGTCAATGAAATTCAGCCATGAGACTTTTGCTAGAACATCTGCAGAGAAAGTGCTCCCTTTCTGCCAGCGTTGCTGAGATGGTAGGATAAACGTCTGATCCAACTGGTGGTCATCTTCACCATCATGTGGGGAGAGGCTGCCTGAGAGCACAGGTCAACCTAGAAGAAAGCAGAGATCAGAGACAAAGAGACTGAGTCACAATGCCATCTGTTGGACACCTGGATTCAGCCATGCCTGAAGCCAGCCCCCTAGATTTTTTCAGCCCCTTGAGCCAGAAAATTATCTTACTTCAGCCAATTTGAGCTGAGTTTCCAGGGCTTTCAGTCAAAATAATTCTGATTCACACACTCTGGATTCTGTCCCTAAAATGAAGACAGGAAATTAGAGGCAAATCTCCTTTTACGCTCAGACACACAAGGACATTATTGGCTTCAATAAATTCCAGAATGTCAGGGCTGGCAGAGGCACCTCATTGTACAGAGGAAGAAACAGTGGCCAAGAGAGTGACCTTCCCATGAATGCTCAACACAGGGGCCAAACCAGGACTTATAACCCACGTCAGATTTCTTTTCCTTACATGCAGGCAACAAACATATCCAGGTAGATGACCTGACTTAAGGGAAAATAGTACTCCCCAAACACATACCAGACCAAAATGACCTCCCCACTTCTCATCACACTACCTGAAATGCCACCATTAGAGACCTATCCCACACTTTCTGCTGCCTCCAAGATGCATCAAACAAACGTAGAAACCCAGGGAGGGAATTTACTGTTTAAGCTTATTTATAGAATTATACAGTAAGAGTTGCTGTGAGTTATCACTGGGTAACTTTACAGATGGGGAAACTGAGGCTAGGAAAGGAAATGTGACTGGTCTTTCCACTTTCACGGAGAGATCTGTCTACAGTGGTCTGAAAGCAAAGCTGCCATGCTGCTATGGTCTCAATGGTTATGTTCCCCCAAAATTCATATGTTGAAACTCTCACCCATAAGGTGATGACATTAGGAGGTAGGGTGTTTGGGAGGTGAGTAGGTCATGGAAGAGGAGCCCTCATGAATAGGATTATGCACCCTTATAAAAGAGCACGGAGGCCATGCAGTGGCTCACGCCTGTAATCCCAGCATTTTGGGAGGCTGAGGTGGGCAGATCACTCGAGGTCAGGAGTTCAAGATCAGGCTGGCCAGCACGGTGAAATCCCGTCTCTACTAAAAATACAAAGATTAGCTGGTCTTGGTGGTGGGTGCCTGTAATCCCAGCTACTCAGAAGGTTGAGGCAGGAAAATTGCTTGAACCCAGGAGGCAGAGGTTGCAGTAAGCCAAGATTGCGCCACTGCACTCCAGCCTGTGCGACAAAGGGAGACTCCATCTCAAATAATAAATAAATAAATAAATAAATAAATAAATAAATAAGCAAGCACTGAGAGATCCCTCGCCCCTTCCTCCATGTGAGGACACAACTAGAAGGCACCATCATCTATGAACCCTCACCAGAAAACAAGTCTGCCCATGCCGTGATCGTGGACTTTTCAGCCCACAGAACTGTGAGAAATAACTTTCTGTTGTTTACAAGCCACCTAGTTTATGGTATTTTTTTCTAGCATCCTGGCTAAGATGTGTCTTTGGGAATGACATCCAAGGAGAAGAGGAAGGTGGGAAGAGCCCAGGGTCAAAGGATGCTGACTTTTTGTTTTGTTTTTTTTTTAAGTTTCACTCTTGTTGCCCAGGCTGGAGTGCAATGGTGCGATCTTGGCTCACTGCAACCTGTCTCCCAGGTTCAAGTGATTCTCCTGCCTCAGCTTCCTGAGTAGCTGGGATTAGAGGCATGTGCCACCTCGCCTGGCTAATTTTATATTTTTTAGTAGAGATGGTGTTTCTCCATGTTGGTCAGTCTGGTCTTGAACTCCCGACCTCAAGTGATCCGCCTGCCTCAGCCTCCCAAAGTGCTGGGATTACAGGCGTGAGCCACTGCGCCTGGCTAGGATGCTGACCTCTCTAATTTACCTGGCCGATGGGCCAGCTGGGAGCACATGGATCTCAAATCTGACCAGGACACAGGCTCTAGAACAAACTCAGCTTCCTTTAAGAGTCTAGAGAACTGGCAAGCTCTGTTTACTCTTTCTCTGTGGTGAGAAGGGAGGAGAACCTCATATTTGCCCTGAAGATAACAGTTGTTGACATCTCTTTATATTATTAGAGAAAATGCCCAGCCAAGAAATAAACCATCAGTTTTATTTACAGTATATTTCCCAGAACTCAGAGAAACATTGTGCTTTTTTACGTAGGCCTAAAACCAAAGTGTAATTTATAACAATACATCAAACTTTACAGTACATAAAACTCTCCCTACCTTATAAAAACATACAAAGAATTGCTTACTCTTTACATAAATTACTTAAGAACATGGTGGGTTTGCACATGTTGAAAGAATTCCCATTAGGGGGAAGATCTGTTGCTACCAGTGGCAATCTTTGCAGTGGTTTAGGGAACAGTTAGAATGGGAAACACAGAAATTGTAACAAAGTACTCTATGGGAAAGAAACTCATCCCAGAACCCTTGGAGTAGAGCATGTTCTTCTAACCATGAAATTAGTCACTTCCTTATTGAACTTCAGCCTTTCAAGCTCTACAATAAAACCAAGGACAATATTTTAAACTAGGGCTCCTAACCACCAGGCCGTGGACTGGGACCAGTATCAGTCTGTGGCCTGTTAGGAACCAGGCTGCACAGCAGGAGGTAAGTGGTGGGTGAGCCAGCATTACTGCCTGGGTTCCACCACCTGTCAGACCAACGGCGGCATTACATTCTCACAGGAGCGTGAACCCTATTGTGAACTGTGCATGCAAGGGATCTAAGTTGTGTATGCCTTCATCCTGAAACCATGCCCACCCACAACCCCACGCACCATCCGTGGAAAAATTGTCTCCCACAAAACCAGTCCCTGGTGCCAAAAAGGTTGGGGACCACTGTTGTACACAGCCTAAGGGCAAGAATCATATCTAGTTTCACTCACTGTTGTAGACACATAGTAAGTGTTCAATAAATACGGGTTGAAGAGAGAGGTGGGGAGGAGGGAGGAGGAAAGAGGGGGTGGCATACAGAATGCAAATGTATCAGTTATCTACCACCACAATAATACTGTGTAACAAACTACCTCCAAAGGCTCAACTTCAAACTATTCCTTTTATTACTGCTTACAAGTGGGCAGGCTGCCTGGCAGTTCTTCCAGCCCCAGCTGAGCTCACCCACTGTCTGGAGGTCAGCTGGTTGTTGGCTGATGGCCTCAGTTGGGTCAACCAGACTCTCTCCCATCTGTCTCTCTTCCACGCATGTCTTTCCTATTCCCCCAGCAAGCTAGTCTGGACACGTTTTCCAGCTAGCCTGGGCATGTTCTCATGGTGGCTGCAGAGATCCAAGCAAGCAAGTGGAAATACACAAGCACTTTCTCCAACCTCTGCTTGCATTATGTTTGCTAAATGCCATTGGCCAAAGCAAGTCACATGCTCAAGCCCAGAGCCAGAATAGGGGGCTAGGGGATTAAGAGTTATAAGACAAAGGGCATAGCTACAGGGAGAAATTAACTGGAGTTGTTAACACAACCAGCCTACCACAATAATGATACCCAATTCCCAACACCCCCCGCCCTCACCCCAAGCCCTACTCTACATTCGGTTATCTAAAGCCCATGCAAAAAGGATAGAAAACAAGATTCTACTGACTCCTTTCTCCATGTGGGAAAAGTGAGAGCTCAAAGTCAGGCTCTTCAATTAGAGTCATATTTATTTAAACCAGCAGTTGCAAATCTTAATACCTGCAGGGAATAGGCAGGTAATAAATTACTGAATCAGACCAGGCAAGGAACAGAGGGCACCAAGAAACACTTCCCCTCTCTCCCCAGGGGTGGTAGCTACACAGCTCAGACCAATAGACACCTCACAAGAACGCAGGCCCAAGCTGCCACCTCATCTAATTACTTCAAGAGAAGCTGAAAATAGGCATTTTTCAGTGAAATCATATTTAAAAGGTAGCCACTAATTAAAAAATAAATAAGCATAAGCCAAGTGTGGTAGTTCATGCCTGTAATCCCAGCACTTTGGGAGGCCAAGGCAGGTACATTGCTTAAGGCCGGGAATTTAAGACCAGCCTGGGCAACATGACAAAACTCTGTCTCTAAAAAAAATACAAAAATTAGCCAGGCGTGGTGGTACACACCTGTAGTCCCAGCTACTCGTGAGGCTGAGGTGGGAGGATGGCATCAGTCGAGAAAACAAAGGTTGCAGTGAGTCATGATCCCACCACTGCACTGCAGCCTGGGCAACAGAGTCAGTCCAGGTCCAAAAAAATATATCCATGAGGCAGAGCCAGTATTTAGGGCTGAGTGTACTAGCTCTGATTTTAAATACTGCATTTGGGATCTTGGACCCTGTCTTGAGCGTATTGATTTTGCTTCACCATGGATGACAGAAAATGAAGGCAGGAACTGTGTCTGTCTTGTTTAGCACTCTGTTCCCAGCCTAGCACAGTGCCTGGCATATATTGGTTGGAAGAAAGGAAAAAAGAAGGGAGGAAGAGAGGGTACAGGGGTAGAAGGGGAGGGGAGAAATTAACATTTATGGAGTATCTATTTGCATTAGGAAGCATTTTGCACACATGCTTTTGATTGAATTGCGTTATCAGCAAAATTCATCTGTTGAAGCCCTAACACCCAATGTGACTGCATTTGGAGATGGGGCCTTTAAGGAAGTAATTAAGGTTAAAAGAGATCATAAGAGTGAAGCCCTAATCTAATAGGACCAGTGTCCTTATAAGAAGAAAGAGAGATACCTGATGATATGGTTTGGCTGTGTCCCCACCCAAATCTCATCTTGAATTGTAGCTCCCATAATTCTTATGTCTTGTGGTAGGGACCCGATGGGAGATAACTGAATCATGGGGGTGCTTTCCCCCCTACTGTTATCGTGATAGAGAATAAGTCTCATGAGATCTGATGATTTCATAAGGGGTTTCCCCTTTCACTTGGTTCTCATTCTCTCTTGCCTGCTGCCATGTAAGACATGCTTTCACCTTCTGCCATGATTGTGAGGCCTCCCCAGCCACGTGGAACTGTGAATCTATTAAACCTCTTTCCTTTATAAATTACCCAGTCTTGGGT